AAGTGGGAGTGGGCGCCTGTCAAAATTAGGTACACCTCAAAAAGTGCCATTTGAGGAAGGGGGAGGAGGAAGCCTTAAAGCAGAACTTCACCTTTTGGCTCCGCTTTAATTACTTTCAGAGCATGCAGAAACAGTATGGATCAAAACTAGAGGAAAATAATATTCTGTGTTTTCATGCCTCTCTCAGGCTAGTCATATTGTCACTTTTTATTTTAAACCATCAGAAATGTGAGGTGAAGATATGAAGGGAAGAAAACAGATGAGGATGCAGGACTAGAATAGGGAGAGAGGCATCTAGTCCTCTGGAAGTCGCCATTGTCTGTCAGCGACAACATCCATGATAGATGAGACATGACGATAAGATGAAATGACCATTGTAGCTCCCAAGGACATCCAGGAGTCAGCACAGACCTAGAGACCGGAGAGTCGAGACGAATATCGGTCTAGTCTAAAAAGATTGGAATATTTCAGAGTTTTCCATAAAGCTGATATGAATGGCAAAACGTAGCCAAGATTTGCATGGTAACAGTCGACATGACAAAATCACATTCATGTCAATGGACTTACAGAACATATTTTTCTTGTCAATAATATTTGAGTTTTCAACAATATACAGGACTGTGCTGAAAATACAAATGTGTGTATGGCAGCCTCACATGGCTATTGTTCAGCATAACCGAGATAAGATATCAGTCTGTTCCAGCATTCAGAAGGTGCACTAGAAATAAAAATCCCAGGGATATCTCATCCTGGACCTGGGGGTTAGGGGCCAGAATTACTTTAGAGAGATGTAGCACCCTGTGGTGGGCAATCAGAAAACAGGAGAGAACAGTATCTAGTTAAGATCAGCAAAGGGAATGAAGGGAGAAGGCATAGCAGGGAATTGGGTAGGTAGAGGAAGAGGGGGGGAAGGAGTAGCCGGTGCTCATTGGAATGGGCTGAGAAGATATTTATATCCCTTGCATGGTTATCATATTCACATAAACCATCTCTGTATTTGGCAGGTGGGTTCACAGCAGGTTATGTTGGCAGACAGGAATACGTAGAAACTACTTCCTCCCATTGGCTTCTCTTCACATGACTGGGTCCCCTATAGATGCTTCACTTCACTGTCCGGCCTGTTGCAGCTCTCTGATGTCATCATGTACAATGCAGGACCAGCAGTCCTACATAATATGGGAGGACCGCAAGGGCCTACCCCCCAACCTGGAGTGCCGACAGCAGAGGAGAGTGTCGGCTGGTAGGGGAGCGAAAAATTAAGGTAGGTCTTTAGACTCATTCCCAAAAACAAATAAGCATTTAACCCATGCAGTGCAGAGGGACCTCACTGCATGGTACATTTAAAGGCAGCCCGGAGTTGGACTTTAAAAATTAAAAAACAAAAGGCAAAATTATGTAATATATTTTAGGAAAAAACACATACATCTGAATTGCTTCACCTGAAAACAACAAAAGTATATTTTCTATTCTTTTTACAAGATACGGCTTGATTTGACAACTTAAGGTAGTGACGTCTCTTTAACCCCTTTTCTACTAGGGTGCATCGTTAAATGGTGGATTTGAAGGCCCTTTATTTACTTGATGCTGTTTATAAAAGGCAATGGATTTAATAACCGTTGTGTGGATAATCCACCTTCTAACCTCTGTATATTGGAGCCATCCATTAAAAGGCTTGCTACTCGCAGACATTGTATGAAGCCGATTCAAGGAGCAGACACCATGTCATTGAGTCATTTGGAATTGGCTGAGGTCATTCTGCACATGCAGCACTGGCACATGAGTGACGCATTCAGGACTGACTTGTAAACATCATTTATGGTGAGTAATCATAGGCAACATTTTTGATTTTACATGCCGCCCCTGGACAGCGGCCCAATCGTGTCCTTTTTTATCTGTACATATGTAGTTGTAGCACAATATATTACATGTGTACGCAGACAACTTTTTACACAGGATCTTGATTCAAAGCTCCTGCATAGATGAATACAAGATTGTGAATTAATGCCTTAATCTCCTCAGCATGTCCACAAAAATGGCTAACAGGCGAAGCAAGGAGCATTGAATGCTGGGACTTGCGGACTACAAAGAGCACTTCTTGTGTATTTATTGCTCCAACTCAGAGCAGCTTTTGATGGCCTGTTAATAATAAGTGGCCAAGTGAAATTTACGCAACAAGACCATAAATTTTGGAAAAATCTTCGATTTTAGGCAACAAAGCTAATTTAAAATTGAGCATACATAGTTAGTCGTTGGAAAAATCCATCCAGTTAGTTTATGCGGCAAAAAAAAAAAACAACAGCAAAATGATCCAATGTATACTATCCCCCGAGAGGCAATTAGTAATTTCTAATGTTTTATAAGTGTCCAAGAAAGAATCCAGCTCATCCCGATCTGGCCAGAACCAACTCCTTGCGGGAGTTATTCCAATTGTTCACAGCTCTTAGTCTAGCTGAGAAAAAGACAAAAGTCCAACCCAGTGACCTCAGGGTGAATAACTTGATACCGAAAAAAAAGTTTTTATCCATATCACCACAGTTGATCCAGAGATCCAATAAGGCAAAAAAAAAAAAACAACAGCTTATTAAGCATGATCCAATTTGCTCCTACAGGGGAATAATTCCTCCCTGAGATCCCCCGAGAGGCAATCAGATATTCCCTGGATCATAAACTGTTTACCTATAAAATGTTAGTATCCCCGCCCTTAGTTATATTCTGTGTATTCTAAGGAGAAATGTATTAAAAAATCCATGGGATATCCCCCCTTTTTAAAGCAATCCACCTGAGCTGGCTTATTATAAACCATATCCCTCTTGTATAATACAATGGGATCATACCCCCCCTTAATGTCCATTCCACATTTTCACACGATCATAATCCCCCCTCTTACTGTGATCATTATCCGAAACCTTTACCCCCCGCGTTTTTGGAGATTAAATTTCATGGTGATCATATCCAGACATCCCCCCTTAGAGATCATATCCCCCTTGTCCTAACATGGGATGATATCCCCCCTCATGGTGAATATATCCCCCCTTGATACCGAGTTCCTTATGTATTATACTGATATGAACCACTGTATTAATAACATTGTGATCATATCTCCCCCTTTATGACATGGAGAGCATACCTCACCCCCTTATGTATTATACATGGAGCTCATATCCCCCCTTATGTATTATACAATGGAGATCATATCCCCCCTTATGTATTATACATGGTGAGTCATATCCCCCTTATGTATTATACAATGGAGGATCATATCCCCCCTTATGTATTATATACATGGAGATCATATACCCCCTTATGTACAGATGAGTGATCCAAGATCAACTTGTACCAGAGTGATGGGAAGAGAAGAGTATGGAGAAGGAAAGGAACTGCTCATGATCCTAACCATACACACCTCATCAGATGAAGCATGGAGTGGTGGTAGTGTCATGGCTGTCACGTAGCGGCATGTATGGCTGCCAATGGAAACTGCTTCTCTTGTATTTATTGATGAGTGTGACTGCTGACAAAAGCAGCAGGATGATTCTGAAGTCCGTTTCGGGAATATTATCTGCTCATATTCAGACCAAATGCTTCAGAACTCATTGGACCGTTGCTTCACAGTGCAGATGGACAATGACCCAAAGCATACTGCAAAAGCAAACCAAGAGTTTTTTTAAGGGAAAGAAGTGGAATGTTATGCAATGGCCAAGTCAAATCACCTGACCAGAATCCGATTGAGCATGCATTTCACTTGCTGAAGACAAAACTGAAGGGAAAATGCCCCAAGAACAAGCAGGAACTGAAGACAGTTGTCCAGTAGAGGCCTGGCAGAGCATCACCAGGATGAAACCCCAGCGACTGGTGATGTCTATGCGTTGAGACCAGACTTCAGGCTGTAATTGACTGCAAATGGATTTGCAAAAAAGTATTTAAAAAGTGAAAGTTTGATTTATGATTATTATTCTGTCCCACTTTACTTTTTGTCCCTTAACAAGTGGGGGAGGCACATATGCAAACTGGTTGTAATTCCTACACCGTTCACCCTGATTTGGATGTAAATACCCTCAAATTAAAGCTGACAGTCTGCAGTTAAAGCACATCTTGATCGTTTCATTTCAAATCCATTGTGGTGGTGTATAGAGCCAAAAATGTTAGAATTGTGTTGATGTCCCAATATTTATGGACCTGACTGTAGATGCCCAATTAAACAGAGCATTGAGGTCGGCTTGTAAGTTGAAGACATCATGTAAGGACAGTATTCCACTACACAGCTTGGTGTCATCTGCAAGCACTGAAATGAGACTTGTAATCCCAGACCCTAATATCGTTTATAAATATAATTAAAAGTAAGGGTCCCAACACTGAACCTTGGGGTACACCACTAACGACCCAGACCATTCAGAGTATGAATCATTAACCACTACTCTCTGAATACGAATCTTTTAGCCAGTTTTCTATCCATTTACATACAGATTTTTCCAAGCCTTTAGACTTTACCTTACACATTAGCCATGTGTGGGAACTGTGTCAAACGCTTTTGCAAAGTCCAAGTATACCACATCCACCGCCACCCCTCCTGTCCAAGTATACCACGTCCACCGCCACCCCACTGTCCCAAGTATACCATGTCCCATCCACCCCTCTGTACAAGAATACCCCATTCCACCGCCACACCCACTGTCCAAGTATACCATGTCCACATGTCCACCCCTCTGTCCAAGTATACCAACGTCCACATCCACCCCTCTGTCCAAGTATACCACGTCCACATCCACCCTCTGTCCAAGTATACCACGTCCACCTCCACCCTCTGTCCAAGTATACCACGTCACATGGCCACCCCTCTGTCCAAGTATACCACGTCCACCAACACCCCCCTTCAAAAGTCCAATAAACCACCTCTGTCCATGTATCCACAGTATAATCCACTCCACCAGCCACCCCTCTGTCCAAGTATACCACGTCCACCACCACACCCGTTCTGTCCAAGTATACCACATCCACTGCCACCCCTCTGTCCAAGTATACCACGTCCACCACCCACCCCTCTGTCCAAGTATACCACATCCACGCCACCACCCCTCTGTCCAAGTATACCACGTCCACCACCACCCCTCTGTCCAAGTATACCACATCCACTGCCACCCCTCTGTCCAAGTATACCACGTCCACCACCACCCCTCTGTCCAAGTATACCACAGTCCACTGCCACTGTCCACCACGACCACCACCACCCCTCTGTCCAAGTATACCACGTCCACCACCACCCCTCTGTCCAAGTATACCACATCCACCACCCCCCTCTGTCCAAGTATACCACGTCCACCACCACCCCTCTGTCCAAGTATACCACATCCACCGCCACCCCTCTGTCCAAGTATACCACGTCCACCACCACCCCTCTGTCCAAGTATACCACATCCACCACCACCCCTCTGTCCAAGTATACCACGTCCACACACCACCCCTCTGTCCAAGTATACCACATCCACTGCCACCCCTCTGTCCAAGTATACCACGTCCACCACCACCCCTCTGTCCCAAGTATACCACATACAATAAACACAAAGCCTTTAAGGTTAACATCCACATTTTCCAGTCTGGATTTTCTTAAACATTTTTGTTGGAAGTGAATTGCTTATCACATTCATAGAGGCCAGGTTTATGCCTTAGAGGCAGAATTATGATGTAGAACTCTATGTGGAAGCAGCTGCCATTCGCAGCTACATTTAAGTTGACACTATATTACCTCCCTGACACCTCACGTAATCTTTCTTTTTTTCACACAACCAGACAGCAATGATGATTCGGACAGCGATATCCAGGAGGACGACGGCTCTGAATGATATGGAGGATGATGACAGGAATACCAGGGAAAGATACAGACGGGGGGGAGGATGATGTTACAAGGTGTGTATAATGTGAACATGTCACACAGCAACACTCATAGAGGGAGAACAAATACTAGATTAACATACTAACTATGTATTACCTAGCCTAGAGGCAGCTGTGGTCTCCTGATCTGCAGTGACATCGATGTTACATAAAGGTGTTTTATACTTGGCATCTGCTCCCACTGCCGTTTCCTGACAAGCTGTTTCATTTAGAATAGGTATACTTAACCTCCCTAGCGTCTGAAATTATTTCAGATTTTTGGTGCTAAAAGCGTAACCATTATTTGCATGGAAATATGAGTAGTTTTTTTATTTTAGGCCTGTCATTTTTAGGAATAACTCACTGAAATCTGTCCGAACAAGAGTCCTAGTAAACATCCCGGTATGATAAAATTTGAAACACGAAATCATAAATAATATAATTTAATAAATTAATCATAAAAAATAATAATAATATAATAATAAATGTAATTCAATAAAATATAATCAAACCAAAAACACTGAAATTTGAAATATAGCGCCAAGTTCGCACATCGCTGAGCAAAGTCGCAGAATCCGTCTTTTCAGTGTCTGATGATGAATTTCCCCACAAATCATCACTCCAATTCTGGCAAGTGGTTTCTGATTTACTATCGCTGTTCTCTAGCCGGTCTAAAACCGCTTTTGACCTAAAGGGACGCTTTTTGGATGCCATGGACTTTTCTCAGTTTCCAGCAGAAAGAACAGACAAAATGCAGGCAGGCGCCGGATACAAAGCAGCACTCGGGACAAAATGTATGTGAAATGGGTTGAAACAGCAATGTTTTACTATTAAAATTTGTTTGGAAAAAAATGAATTTTTTAAAATTTTCAAATATCCCGCCGCCGCCGGCGGCACCCGTACGTCCCAACGATCACAGGGGACTTGGAACACAGAAGCTGGATGCCGGCATCGGCCGGAGGAGATGGCCGGGGTTTCTGCAGAGGACACATCGCGGGAAGCGAAGGACAAGGTAAGTGCTGCAGGGGACTCCTATGCAGCGCCGCATGGTAAGCCCGAGTGTAGCTCGGGGTTACCTGCTTTAAGGTACTGACATTTACCCCGAGCTACACTCGGGAATACCGCTATGGAGGTTAAAGAGGTTTTATACTTTTCAGTAAGAACCTCAGAAGCTTCTGTTTTATGACACGAACAAACACCAAAACACCATCAGCACCATTTGTTTCCCTCTACCCAAAACAGCAAATCTGGTTGGTAGTAAATGATTTTGCTAACTCAGGTGGGCCTTTCCTAGTCCTTTTATATTTATTTCAGCTCTCGGTTCTCCTGCCATCCATAAATCCTGCAGAGCACACACGCTGGAAATCCAAGCTATAATGGATAACATATTACCATACCACGCTAAGGTCATGGAACGAGTACTGGCGGGCACAGATCATATGCTCTTGTTGGAATACAGGCTGTGGGAGGACTGAGTGCCACAAGACAGGAATACTGCTCATACACTGGCTACCGGACAGCTAGGTGGACTTTGTTTTCCTGCATCTGAGGTTTGTAAGTCATGGGCATTTTATTATATTTATTATGTAACAACAGTGCACATCACAAAAACACAAAGCCAGCTACAACTAGTGAGCCTTTTGTGCTCCAGATAATAATTTGTATTTTTCATTCACCTGTTTTAATCCCAACTGTCTATATGTTAAACACAAGCTCTTAGCATGACTTGTAGTCAACTGTTCCTTATAGGACTAGTATATGATGATTCTAACAGTCTGGCAGAGGGATATGGGGAATGTATTGGGCATTAAATTGGGTGTCTTTAAAAAGAGAGTTAAGAACAATTTAAAGAGATCTTTACCTGACATAAAAAAAGTGCATCAGGTGTCAATGCTGCTTAACCCCTTCACACGCCTAAGGGGAAAACAAATCTAAAATGCCTAAGCACAATTTCTGCAATGTTGACATGTGTTAATGAAACCGTAAACATACATCACAACTACTTTGTACATCCAGTTGGATTATACCTTTAAAATAAAAAAGATTTTTTTCAGGACAAATTGGGCTTTCATTTGGTGAAAAAATGGTAATGGATATCTCCTGATTTGCTTTTTATTATCAAAGGAAAACTGGCCCAAAAAAATAGTAAAAAAAAAAAATGTTTTTTAGTTAGCTGTATGTTTTTTGTTACAGCCAAAACCTACCACCAAAAAAACAACCCAAAATAAATTCTCCAGCTCTTACGATCTCAGTGATTACCAATATATGTCATATGTTATCTTTGTTGTTTGTACCCGTAGCACAACCCAAAAAAATAGTGCGCATTTTGTTTTTGTAATTTTTTTTTTTTTACCTAAAACACACTGACATTGACACTAAACTGACACTGAACCAATTTTTTTTTTAAATTTCCCTACCTTTTACTCTGACCTTTGACCCTTATCTTGACCCAAACGCTAACCCTGGCACTTGAACTAATCAAACCTTGATCTAGGTATTTTTCCTTATTTTTTAATTTATATTTTTAATATTTATTTATTTATCTTTTTTTTTTTTTATTTCACAAAATTTTTTTTTCTCTCTATGCCAGGAGTTAGAGAGATACAAATGTATCTCTCTTCTCCATTCATAGAGAGAAAAAACAAGGGGGCCGGGCTGTACAGTGACTGATCAATGTGAATAGCCAATCAGAGGCTGAATCACAGCGTTCATGTAGACCTGGAATCGGAGTCCCCAGGTCCCGATCGTTAGAACGGGACCCGGGCTCTCAGTGAACACCGTGCGGTTTTTATTGTGCTGGACAGCGCGCCGCTAGGCGCGCTCCCAGCACAAAGACCAGGTACTCGCAAATATGCGGCCCCCACGTGAAAAAAGCCCAGTTTCCGTGAGGCCACATATTTGTGTGTGACGTCGCGTCAAGGGGTTAAGTGCATGGCACCTTATTCAAGTACTGGTTAGTCTTCAAACCAATTTTTTGTGTCCCTGTGGGAGCCCCTTTGGATCCCAGACACAGACAGCATATACAGCCTCAACATACGGCTCCTATCTGAGCCCTCTCTTACAAGGTATACCTGCTTAAGATACACTGATTTTTCTGCAAAAATCACTATGTCAGTGTTATTTAGTTTTCTTTAAAGCCAAACTCCAGCTTTACTTTCAGTCGTGCACAGTTGTACAGACTCCTCTCCTGTGTGAAAATTACTTACTCTGATTTACCACTGTACACTGAGAGCTTTCTTGCAGTGTGCATTTGAAGCTTCAGCAAGTCAGCCTTTCCTGGCCTACTTCTCTTCCATTCATTGGCTTTCAGTTCTTTCTTTCAATAGTGTTTGTTTTTTTTCATAAGAAAAATTTACCAAGCCGTACAGCGAAAAATATACATCTATTTTTTTTCCCCCGGCTTTCAGTTCTTTCAATCGTGGAAGCCCAGCATTACATGTAGGCATTACTGGGGCAGTCTGCCTAGGAAATCATATGCCTGTGAAGACTGACATCCACTCATCAACTCTTTTTTATATTTGTGCAAGGGGCATCAAAACCAGGACTTTTGAGTTCAAATAATAAAAGAACAAATTTCAAATTTCAAGTGGAATCTGCAATTTATTTTTTCTACATACTCCCCTGCTACATTTGTACACTCATTCCAGCATTTAACTAATGCCTGAAAAGCTATGGCATAAGAAATATTTGTCCAATACGCCTGAACCATCCTAGGACAGCCTGCTTCATCATCAGTGCTGAAATGCTGACCCTCTGAGGAACTCTTAGGGTCCAAACAGATGGAAATCTGTTCCAGGTCCGGGCGAATAAAGGGATGTGGCAATACCTCCCAGCCGAGTTGCTGTAATGTACATGTAGTGCGGTGAGCAGTATGGCTTGTTGATGTTGTCTTGCGAGAAACAGGACGTCCTTATGATCAGTGCAGACTGTCAGTTCTTCTGTGCCGTGAAAAGCGAAAGCTGTCTTGGTACCCATTTTTTGCAAATGTTTATGAATGATTGTTTCACGATTCCATGGAAAGATTGCCCCTTGTGCACTTTCAGGACACGAGATATGCTTCGATTATCCAGGATCAGGCGATTCCACGCAGTGAATGTTTCTTAACCGCCTTGCCCGCCCTGCCACTGTGTATATACGTGTGCAGGGCGGCAGTGGAGCGCAAAACCACGTTTAAAAACGGGTTCCGCGCTCCCCGACAACCTTCGCCGGCAGGGGCGCGCGCGCTGCTAGCGCTCCCGCCGACCACCCGCGGTGACACTAATTGATCCAGGAGAGGATCAATCATTAGATTTTCAGCCAGTGATTTCTGGCTGAAATCACATGATCGGTCCCTGTCCTATCCTGTCCTGTGTTGACATTACACAGGGCAGGATATGCATGTCATTCTTTCACTGCTGGACACATTCCGTTCCAGACAGAGAAGAAGACATCCAAAAAGTGAGTACACAAGCACTTACACTACAGTTAGAACACACTAGGACACATTTAACCCCCCTTGATCGCCCCCCCCCCTCCAGTTAACCCTTCACTGCCCTGTCACCAGATGTTACTGATCAGTGAAGCGATTTTTACTGATCAGTGTCGCTGGCGACTTTCGATAGAGTTATAGCGCCCTCCCAGATAGCGCCCAGATTGCCCGCCATTAACATACCCAG